TAGGTGAGGGCCGTATAACCATATAACAGACATAATTTAAAGTACGATTGACTAATCCCGTGCTGAGACCAGAAAGGGCTTAAAACAATGTAAGTATTGACAGTGAAATAAGACAGTATTAACAGACTGTACCATAAATTCTGAACATATGTATAGGCCCAAGTTTGGGCCTGACATGAATTTACACAGTCACTAGTAACACTTAGCCACATAATTACTAAACAGTGTAGTACCATGAGTGCCTGAATACCATAGGTACTGAGGCCTTGTGAAAATAAGTAACAAAAGTTGCAAATATGAAAATGAAATATGGCGTAGCATTTATTATACAAACGAACGTAGGGTGACTAACCAAATTGCATATTATAAAATACGATATGTTCGAATACAGTAAGCAGAATGCATGAACCAAATTGAGGTTTCACTATGATTGAAATAAGCCGTATTTGCGAAAGTAGTGAAATTCGCCATATCCGAATGAGGAAGGGATACGGACTGAAATGCTAATGCCACCCTAGTTAGTGAAAGGCCAAATGTGGGCTGAATACGTGTGGAATGTCAGTGATAGTGTGGCCCTACATGGACCAAAGCGAAAAAACTTACGGTTTTGCTGAAAAACACGTGTACAGCAACAGGATGTGGCAGTGCCCCGTGAGCTTCGAGGGAAGGCTGTTTTTTGTAGAAATTAGGTAAAATGAATACTTGCGTGGGCCACACTAGGCCAAGACCAGCTTGTTTGTTTGTAATTCATGCAGTTTGTGTTGATGACCTTTGAATGGGAAGTAGATGGATCTGTCCTGAAACAGGAAGTCTCGACCCAGAGGAAGGGGAAGCCTATGAATGAACCTGGTTAGAGCCTATATATTACCAAGAGGGCTTTATTGTCTTAGAATGATATCTATGGCTTATAAACAATTTCAAAGGATTTCAGGTATATTTATCTGGAATAATAAAAACCTCCAATAAAGAGATAGGCATTACATAGACACTAAGACCGAGCAGGTGCGGGAATTCCACGTAAGTCCGGCTATGCCCAGGCCAGAATGCTTACTCATGTTTACAAAATCCAATGCCCTTCCTCCAAATTGGAGGACCCGTATTGGACAGAACAGCTAATGGGCGTAAGCTACTTGGAGAGTCTTCTATGGATGGATCAGGAGGAAGTAAGAGTCCCGGATTATGGACTCGAAAAGTTGCATACTTGGGATGTTTTTTGGAAAATCTGAATTTTATTTAAAAAGAAAAAAAGTCAGTTGGAAAAAATATATCATTAAGATGGCCCCTGTTTCTAAATTTGAAAATCTGATTACAGATCTGAACATATCATGGCCAAATAAAGAAAACAAAGCTATACAACAGTACCCGAAATGGGTACTTTAAAAAAAAAAAAATGGATATATATATATATATATATATATACACAGGGAGTGCAGAATTATTAGGCAAATTAGTATTTTGACCACATCATCCTCTTTATGCATGTTGTCTTACTCCAAGCTGTATAGGCTCGAAAGCCTACTACCAATTAAGCATATTAGGTGATGTGCATCTCTGTAATGAGAAGGGGTGTGGTCTAATGACATCAACACCCTATATCAGGTGTGCATAATTATTAGGCAACTTCCTTTCCTTTGGCAAAATGGGTCAAAAGAAGGACTTGACAGGCTCAGAAAAGTCAAAAATAGTGAGATATCTTGCAGAGGGATGCAGCACTCTTAAAATTGCAAAGCTTCTGAAGCGTGATCATCGAACAATCAAGCGTTTCATTCAAAATAGTCAACAGGGTCGCAAGAAGCGTGTGGAAAAACCAAGGCGCAAAATAACTGCCCATGAACTGAGAAAAGTCAAGCGTGCAGCTGCCACGATGCCACTTGCCACCAGTTTGGCCATATTTCAGAGCTGCAACATCACTGGAGTGCCCAAAAGCACAAGGTGTGCAATACTCAGAGACATGGCCAAGGTAAGAAAGGCTGAAAGACGACCACCACTGAACAAGACACACAAGCTGAAACGTCAAGACTGGGCCAAGAAATATCTCAAGACTGATTTTTCTAAGGTTTTATGGACTGATGAAATGAGAGTGAGTCTTGATGGGCCAGATGGATGGGCCCGTGGCTGGATTGGTAAAGGGCAGAGAGCTCCAGTCCGACTCAGACGCCAGCAAGGTGGAGGTGGAGTACTGGTTTGGGCTGGTATCATCAAAGATGAGCTTGTGGGGCCTTTTCGGGTTGAGGATGGAGTCAAGCTCAACTCCCAGTCCTACTGCCAGTTCCTGGAAGACACCTTCTTCAAGCAGTGGTACAGGAAGAAGTCTGCATCCTTCAAGAAAAACATGATTTTCATGCAGGACAATGCTCCATCACACGCGTCCAAGTACTCCACAGCATGGCTGGCAAGAAAGGGTATAAAAGAAGAAAATCTAATGACATGGCCTCCTTGTTCACCTGATCTGAACCCCATTGAGAACCTGTGGTCCATCATCAAATGTGAGATTTACAAGGAGGGAAAACAGTACACCTCTCTGAACAGTGTCTGGGAGGCTGTGGTTGCTGCTGCACGCAATGTTGATGGTGAACAGATCAAAACACTGACAGAATCCATGGATGGCAGGCTTTTGAGTGTCCTTGCAAAGAAAGGTGGCTATATTGGTCACTGATTTGTTTTTGTTTTGTTTTTGAATGTCAGAAATGTATATTTGTGAATGTTGAGATATTATATTGGTTTCACTGGTAATAATAAATAATTGAAATGGGTATATATTTGTTTTTTGTTAAGTTGCCTAATAATTATGCACAGTAATAGTCACCTGCACACACAGATATCCCCCTAACATAGCTATAACTAAAAACAAACTAAAAACTACTTCCAAAAATATTCAGCTTTGATATTAATGAGTTTTTTGGGTTCATTGAGAACATGGTTGTTGTTCAATAATAAAATTAATCCTCAAAAATACAACTTGCCTAATAATTCTGCACTCCCTGTATATATATACATATATACACACATACATACATACATACATACATATATATATATATATAGATATATATATACATACATACATACACATACACACTTGGTTCCAGGGAAGTTTCCCAAAGCATGGACCAGTTTGTAAAAATATGTAAGGATCAAGTGTGAGTGGAAATTATGGTCTGAAAATTGGAGTTTCACACACTTTATAAATATATTCAGGAACTCCAATTTAAGATAATGTTCAAATGGTACATAGTTCCACAAACGATTCATAAGTTTAACCCACTAATGTCTGATGTGTGATGTGGAGAGAATACTGCAAATTACATACACATGTGGTTCACACCTGGGATAAGATTTTCAGGGTGATCGCTAGTCTGACCAATATTGCAGTCAGCCCTCACCCAAAAATAGCACTACCTCATTGCTGGCTAAGGACCATACCAGCAGCAAAGATGATTTTAGTTATTCATATCCTCCTGGCTATGAAGTTAATAATCAAATATGTTGGAGATGTCAAAAGGCAGATTTATTTAGATTGCTTTGATGGAAAAAGGCAATTATATTACACAGACAAATTTAGAAGGATATCACAAGATTTGGCAACCTTGGTACTCTAAATTCTCAGAGGCCAAATTGCCAGGACTGTGTTCGATATCCCTGCTGATTGTTAGATGGGGATGAGGTCGCATTAACCCCTTAAGGACCAAACTTCTGGAATAAAAGGGAACCATGACATGTCACATGTCATGTGTCCTTAAGGGGTTAAAGGCGGCGGTGGTAATCTTGTCTAGTCAGGCAATTCCAGATAGTCATTTATCCTGTTTTTTGTGTTGGATATTTAAAGTTTTTTTTTGTTTTTCCTTTTGATTTTTTTTTGTATTATGCAACAGCATGATGACCACCAGAGAATATCTGAAATATTTCTGTGAGAGTTGTCTGAAACCTGCACACACACAAAAAATAAAAAGGCAGAGAAGTGAATCACTCATGCACAGCTGTTTCGTTGTTAATGCAACTCGTCAGCATGAGGTTGTTTACTGGCTTGCTATTGAGGCTTGGAAAGTTATGGTGGAGAAATAAGTTATTGAAAACCCCTTCCATCTGAAGTAAGTGGATAGTCAACACATTGTTAAATACAGATCTGCACATTTGCAGTGCTGTTTACTACTGCGAGAGATTCTGTATGGGAATATACAAAATAGTTTAACAAATAAGCACCATTTTGACTCATTATTTAAATTTTAAACATGTATTCTGTGGAGTTAATGTCTGTTGTACACAACAGCTTTGAAACACAACTCGGGGAAAAAGAGCAAAGCCAGTGAACCACTCATGGACAGCTGTTTCGATGTAAATGCACATCATCAGCTATATCTATATTACAGAAGTGTGAGACTGAACTAACATATCTGCTTTTGACTATGATCCAAAAGAAGGCGAAAAACCCAGTCTGAAGCGCCAATTTCGCAACAAACTAAAAAAAATTCCTTCTTGACCCCAGAATGGCAGTCAGATATCTCCTTGGATCTAGAAGCTTTTACTCCACAATATTAAAATATATATTACTGAATATCTATAACTATGAGCTCTTTGCAGTTCTTAGGCCAGATTGCTTTTAACTCAAGCTTTTCGAGCTAGGGCAGTAGATCAGTTAAAGGGGTCTCTGAGGCCGACTATATATGAACTCAGTCTCTGCTTAATGCAGCAGATCAGCTGATGGAGCACTGAGATTCCTAGCAGTTATGGGGCTGGATACCTATCAACTCAGGCTCTTTGCATATGGCGGTGGATCAGCTGATGAGGCTGAGTTTGCTAGCACTTCTGAGGCCGATATATACTTAAGGTTTTGGGTCAGGGCAGTAGATCAGTTAAAGGGGTCTCTGAGGCCAGATATATATGAACTCAGGCTCTGCTTAAGGCAGTAGATCAGCTGATGGAGCACTGAGATTCCTAGCAGTTATGGGGCTGGATACCTATCAACTCAGGCTCTTTGCATATGGCGGTGGATCAGCTGATGAGGCTGAGTTTGCTAGCAGTTTTGAGGCCGGATATATATACTTATGGTTTTGGGTCAGGGCAATAGATCGGTTAAAGGGGTCTCTGAGGCCTGATATATATGAACTCAGGCTCTGCTTAAGGCAGTAGATCAGCTGATGGAGCACTGAGATTCCTAGCAGTTATGGGGCTGGATACCTTTCAACTCAGGCTCTTTGCATATGGCGGTGGATCAGCTGATGAGGCTGAGTTTGCTAGCAGTTCTGAGGCCGATATATACTTATGGTTTTGGGTCAGGGCAGTTAAAGGGGTCTCTGAGGCCGACTATATATGGACTCAGGCTCTGCTTAAGGCAGCAGATCAGCTGATGGAGCACTGAGATTCCTAGCAGTTATGGGGCTCGATACCTATCAACTCAGGCTCTTTGCATATGGCGGTGGATCAGCTGATGAGGCTGAGTTTGCTAGCAGTTCTGAGGCCGGATATATATACTTATGGTTTTGGGTCAGGGCAGATCAGTTAAAGGATCTTTGAGGCCGACTATATATATGAACTCAGGCTCTGCTTAAGGCAGTAGATCAGCTGATGGAGCACTGAGATTCCTAGCAGTTATGGGGCTGGATACCTATCAACTCAGGCTCTTTGCATATGGCAGTAGATCAGCTGATGAAGCTGAGTTTGCTAGCAGTTCTGAGGCCAGATATATATACTCATGGTTTTGGGTTAGATCAGTTAAAGGAGCTCTGAGGCCAACTATATATGAACTCAGTCTCTGCTTAAGGCAGCAGATCAGCTGATGGAGCACTGAGATTCCTAGCAGTTATGGGGCTGGATACCTATCAACTCAGGCTCTTTGCATATGGCGGTGGATCAGCTGATGAGGCTGAGTTTGCTAGCAGTTCTGAGGCCGGATATATATACTCATGGTTTTGGGTTAGGGCAGATGATCAGTTAAAGGATCTCTGAGGCCGACTATATATGAACTCAGGCTCTGCTTAAGGCAGTAGATCAGCTGATGGAGCACTGAGATTCCTAGCAGTTATGGGGCTGGATACCTTTCAACTCAGGCTCTTTGCATATGGCGGTGGATCAGCTGATGAGGCTGAGTTTGCTAGCAGTTCTGAGGCCGGATATATATACTCATGGTTTTGGGTTAGGGCAGATCAGTTAAAGGATCTTTGAGGCCGACTATATATGAACTCAGGCTCTGCTTAAGGCAGTAGATCAGCTGATGGAGCACTGAGATTCCTAGCAGTTATGGGGCTGGATACCTATCAACTCAGGCTCTTTGCATATGGCGGTGGATCAGCTGATGAGGCTGAGTTTGCTAGCAGTTCTGAGGCCGGATATATATACTCATGGTTTTGGGTTAGGGCAGATCAGTTAAAGGATCTTTGAGGCCGACTATATATATGAACTCAGGCTCTGCTTAAGGCAGTAGATCAGCTGATGGAGCACTGAGATTCCTAGCAGTTATGGGGCTGGATACCTATCAACTCAGGCTCTTTGCATATGGCGGTGGATCAGCTGATGAGGCTGAGTTTGCTAGCAGTTCTGAGGCCGGATATATATACTTATTGTTTCGGGTTAGGACAGTAGATCAGTTAAAGGGGTCTCTGAGGCCGACTATATATGGACTCAGGCTCTGCTTAAGGCAGATCAGCTGATGGAGCACTGAGATTCCTAGCAGTTATGGGGCTGGATACCTATCAACTCAGGCTCTTTGCATATGGCGGTGGATCAGCTGATGAGGCTGAGTTTGCTAGCAGTTTTGAGGCCGGATCTATATACTTATGGTTTTGGGTTAGGGTAGTATATCAGTTAAAAGAGCTTTGAGTATTCAAGCAGTTCTGAGACTAGGAGGCTACTAGGAACTTTAAGTTTAGTTATTTATACTAAGACCCCAAGCACCAGAACCAGAGCAGCACGCTGCAGTAGTTGAGGTAACAGTAGATCCAGGACAAGTGCCCTCACAGGAGGCAGCAGGCACACTACCCAAAAGGACATTGATCAGATGTCCCTTCGAGACAGCACGACTACTTTCTCAAGGAAGACACCCGCCAAAGAACTACCATCACTACCACTACAACAGTGTACTACCCTAGCTAAAATACCCGGAATCTAAACTACTTTAAATAAAATTATACTAAGACCCCAAGCACCAGAACCAGAGCAGCACGCTGCAGTAGTAGTGGTAACAGTAGATCCAGGACAAGTGCCCTCACAGGAGGCAGCAGGCACACTACCCAAAAGAACATTGATCAGATGTCCCTTCGAGACAGCACGACTACTTTCTCAGGGAAGACACCCGCCCAGACCGGCTATCACTACCACCACAACAGTGTACTACCCTAGCTAAGATACCCGGAATCTAACTACTTTAAATAAAATTATACTAAGACCCCAAGCACCAGAACCAGAGCAGCACGCTGCAGTAGTTGAGGTAACAGTAGATCCAGGACAAGTGCCCTCACAGGAGGCAGCAGGCACACTACCCAAAAGAACATTGATCAGATGTCCCTTCGAGACAGCACGACTACGGTCTCAGGGAAGACACCCGCCCAGACCGGCTATCACTACCACCACAACAGTGTACTACCCTAGCTAAGATACCCGGAATCTAACTACTTTAAATAAAATTATACTAAGACCCCAAGCACCAGAACCAGAGCAGCACGCTGCAGTAGTTGAGGTAACAGTAGATCCAGGACAAGTGCCCTCACAGGAGGCAGCAGGCACACTACCCAAAAGGACATTGATCAGATGTCCCTTCGAGACAGCACGACTACTTTCTCAAGGAAGACACCCGCCAAAGAACTACCATCACTACCACTACAACAGTGTACTACCCTAGCTAAAATACCCGGAATCTAAACTACTTTAAATAAAATTATACTAAGACCCCAAGCACCAGAACCAGAGCAGCACGCTGCAGTAGTAGTGGTAACAGTAGATCCAGGACAAGTGCCCTCACAGGAGGCAGCAGGCACACTACCCAAAAGAACATTGATCAGATGTCCCTTCGAGACAGCATGACTACGGTCTCAAGGAAGACACCCGCCCAGACCTGCTATCACTACCACCACAACAGTGTACTACCCTAGCTAAGATACCTGGAATCTAACTACTTTAAAATAAAATTATACTAAGACCCCAAGCACCAGAACCAGAGCAGCACACTGCAGTAGTTGAGGTAACAGTAGATCCAGGACAAGTGCCCTCACAGGAGGCAGCAGGCACACTACCCAAAGGGGCATTGATCAGATGTCCCTTCGAGACAGCACAACTACTTTCTCAGGGAAGACACCCGCCAAAGAACTACCATCACTACCACCACAACAGTGTACTACCCTAGTTAAGATACCCGGAATCTAACTACTTTAAAATAAAATTATACTAAGACCCCAAGCACCAGAACCAGAGCAGCACGCTGCAGTAGTTGAGGTAACAGTAGATCCAGGACAAGTGCCCTCACAGGAGGCAGCAGGCACACTACCCAAAGGGGCATTGATCAGATGTCCCTTCGAGACAGCACGACTACTTTCTCAAGGAAGACTCCCGCCCAGACCTGCTATCACTACCACCACAACAGTGTACTACCCTAGCTAAGATACCCAGAATCTAATTCTGCGTCTCTGGAAAGCTAACTCCAGAGAGCAGA